CTCAGTTGGAAATATTTACATTTCCCGGGAGGAAAGATCGTGAAATTATAATCCAAGAGGGCCAAACATTCGTTTTTATATCTTATAATCTCAAAAACAAAACAAAAAAAAGAAAAAAAAAAAAAAATGGAATCACAGTAACTAAGTTCATAATATGGGTTCGCAAAGATGTAAATTTCATCCGTACTCTCGCGAGAAGTGAAATCTCAAAGCGAGTTCCTCCGGCTCGAAAACTCGGATCGTCTCCTTCGAGTATCCCAGTTTCCATCCTCTGCACTCGGCAACGACTCCGAGTGGCCTAATCCAATCAACATGACGGTCCCCCGGACGGTTCTCGGAAATTCATCATTTTTCGTCTTCATTAGCCGCGGCTGATGTTTCCCGGCGGAGCTTTCGACGTTAGCCTGAAAGAGAAGACGGGATACGGGACGAGGGGTCGAGGGAGCGAATGTCGCGGGCTGGCGTAATCAGGTCACCGATCCGTCCTCGCCGCGTTTCAAAGCGATATGACGTTTAACGTGGCAATTAGCCGAGTTTACATTTTTAATTGATCGCTTAAACTCGCGTAGCCGGGGCTGTCTGCAAAGGCAATCAACTGCACAAACAAGCGGCGCGCGAACGAAACGCGGGACGACCCATGGAGCGAAGACGGCTAGCACGTCGCCTCCGTTCCACTTTCGTCCTCCCGGAGGTGTCGTGTCGAGCAGAGGGGCGACCGTGTAAACAGGGATTTTCGGATTCGGGAATTACACGAATCCGGCGACAGGCTGCTCCGTGAAATATTTAGAACAGCCTTGGCTGCCGCGTCTCGAACACATCAGGAAACAAGCCACTTTTCCCTCTCCTCTTTTATCTTTTTATCTCCGTTCCATTCTGCAGAATAGATCAGATCGTCGTTGATCCTGGTGAAAGAACTCGGAGAACGTGCAGGCGTCGTTCGTAGGCGTTTGGACACGTTGGATTTTGCAAAGAGTCTAGGAATCGATGATTCGTCGATTTTGTCGAGGCCAATTCTACAACTCAGTGTCGTGCTACTTCCCAAAATTCCCCAGAATCGACAGTTGAATTATGCAATTGTGGCTCGAAAAGTAAAAAGTCGGTCAGCTTTTAACCTCTTGCGCGGACCATAACGAGTGACCGAACCGCGTACAATAATTTGTCGCTTTATTTCCCTTTCGAACTCGTCGGTATGATATTACTGGATGGAAATGATTGAGAAGTAATAAATTTATCGTTCGTTCTGCCTGGGTTACATTTAAATATACTTAAAACTGAGGAAATGTTGCAATTTGGGACAGAAAACTCATTCCAACGCGAGAGGTTAAGGGAGCAGTGTGTCTGAATAGGAATTGTATTTTCTACGAAATATTTGCCGTTCTGACGTCGAAATCGAGACCTTTTAGAGCAGAATTTTAGTTTTCAGTTCGTTTGGTTCTCAGAGTTCTCAAATAACTTTTACGTAAAGTTATTTTGCTACTGATATTCTTGATACGAGCCTCGCTCGTGATAAAAGAGATTAGATTAGCTATATATCATCACTTAGATTTCTTATCGTATAAAATATGTGTTTTGCCTGGGTTATAATTAAATATACTTAAAACTGAGAAAATGTTGCAACTCGGGACAAAGAAATTCTCGACGAGCACGTCATTCCTGCGCAAGAGATTAAACTTTGAACACGAACCAGTTTTTTAAAACAGCAATCAACAGAGAAATTCATGGTATTCAACGGCAGAGTATTGTTGAACATAACGAGAGTATCAAGACAGTAAAACATTTTGATTTAAGCAAGAATCTATCAAGTCTATTACACAATAAAAATAGTCCACGTCAACCATTGTTATTCATTTCCTGCAAACAGTGGATGGTACTTCATACCTCAAGGTTAGATAAGAATGATTCAAACTCCACTTTTGTGTTTCATCCTTTTGTATTTGCAAAAGTGAAGGCCCGATGACTATCAATTCTTTCGTAGATAGATTATAATTAGATTTTTAAAGACTCGAATGATCTTTTCTTCGACTATCTCTCTCTTTCTTATTTCTCGCGCTTCAGTTTCTCTGCTGCAACTATCTCCGACAGTTTCATGTTTTGTAACTAACGCTCAATCGACACAGATATTTCTTTAACCTCTTCAGGGACAAATTTTTAATTTCACAACAAAGAAATTTAATCTATTTATAATTTATGACAACTGGGATTTATTTTCTGGTTGGCAAATTTAGCAAAGATCGCACATTCATTTCGTTTCGCGAAGTAGTTTTTTTATAAACCAAGGGCGTGAAGAGGTTGTATATTTCTCTCCATATTTCTTCGTGATGAATATTCAAAATACCTGTGAATCGTCAAATCTGTACAAATCAAAATACGTTACATGCAATCTTTACCGAAAGAAGTATTGACTTCGTTCATTTGCCAGATTGATGGATAATGATGGGATTTTGACGAAGGATGTATTCGGCGTATGCGACCGAATTCTGCAGGTTTAAAGTTGCGAAGCTTACAGTTTCGAGGTACTAGAGAGGATAGAGTTGAAACTGTTGGATTCAGCGGAAGGGAAAATTCACGTCGTGAAAACTTCGCGGTTCAGAAGTTATGGGACACCCTCTCTAGAGCGCGGTGCCATTTTTAGAGATATACATATATATATATATATATAACAAGCGCTCCTTCAGATTTATACTAGTTTCGCTTAAATTGAACTGAGCCTGAATCACCCCTCGCCCATTGAAGATAAGAAAAGCTGATTCGGAGAAATTTCCTGCGGCCTCCGGAGAACCCGCTTGTTCTGGCTGTAGAATCGAAAGCAAAGATGCACTTCGTTTGCACGATCGTAACATAGACTCGTAGTTTACATCGAACTCGGTTTGTTTGCACTGCGACGCGAAAATTATATCGAGAATCGCTTGTTTCGACCGGGGCCGTTTGAATTTTATTTCGGCGATCGACGCGGTATGAAAGTTATAAAGCTTCGTGGCACGACGTGCTCGATCAAGCGCGACTTTGCCGGTTAACCAAGCGTAAACGTGTCACTGAGTATATGACTCGTGGATAATTTACGACGTCGAACGTCGAACGTAGGAAAAATAACACGAACTTAAATCCACGTGGATTTAAAATAAACTTGTTTAGTTTATTAATGTTTAACTAATTATGGAAAACTAAGAGTAAGTCCGAATACGGCGATGACTGAGAGATAGTCAAGTTCTCTTCGTACCTGCATGCTATCACGCTACTCTCTCAAAAAATCTACTAAATATAATATAATATTATAAAATACAATATTATATAATAGTACTATCTATTATATTATATATAGTACTATCTACTATATCTATAATCTATAAACATTGTCATTATATATAAATATTACTATAATCCTACTATCTAAGAAATCACCATTTCTTAAAACTGCGATAATGGCTCATACAAATGTAGAGAAATAAAAGCAGGTCAATCACTCTTTAGAACCTTAAACTTGCATCACTTTCTCATAATCTGACAATTATATAATATTATATAGTATTATATAATAGTACTGTCTATTATATCTATAATCTATAAACAGTGTTATTATATATAAATATTATTATACTCCTACTATCCAAGAAATCACCATTTCTTAAAACTGCGATAATGGTTCGTAGAAATGTGGAGAAATAAAAAAAGGTCAGTCACTCTTTGAAACCTTAAACTTGCGTCTTGCATCACTCTCTCAAAATCCAACTATATCTATAATCTATAAACATTGTTATTATATATAAATATTATTATACTCCTACTCCAAGAAATCACTATTTCTTAAAACTGCGATAATGGCTCGTACAAATGAGAAATAAAAACAGGTCAGTCACTATGTGAAACCTTAAATTTACGTCTTGCATCACTCTCTCAAAATCTAACAATTATATAATATTATATAATAGTACTGTCTATTATATCTATAATCTATAAACATTGTTATTATATATAAATATTATTATAATCCTACTATCCAAGAAATCACCATTTCTTAAAACTGCGATAATGACTCGTACAAATGTAGAGAAATAAAAACAGGTCAGTCACTCTTTGAAACCTAAAACTTGCGTCTTGCGTTCTGTTCCATTTTCACGCGACAACCCTCTCTACCCAAAATCTCATTCTTCAACGAGTGAGTTATTCTCATCAGCTTCTCACTTCGTCATTAACTATCCCACAGTTCGTTCTCCAGAAATCAATCAGAATTCAATTCCGCAATATTCGCACGAGCGAGTGGCAGTGGAACGATAAATCACAGTCGAACAGGCGAATAGAACGAGCGAACGCGGTGGACAATGTACACCGCGTGGAGTTTCTACGAAAGGCGTCGTACGTGTCCACCAACTTGCCTGCGGAATTTGCTAGCGAAAGTAGGAAGCAAGCCAGCGAAAAATCGAGCTAGCGCAAAGTTCGCAAAGTGAATTTTTATTGGCTGGCCAGAAAATGGAGGTAAGAGTTCGTGTTTTGGCCATAGTCGGACGGTGGATACTGTGTGGCGAGCGAGCGAGCGGAGAAGGAGTGTCTAGCGCAGCGGTCTGAAATCGACTTTCGATGGCGGAGAACCGTGGATTCGCGACGCCGAAGAATTAACGAGCCACTTGGACCCTCAGCCGCGAATTTATTTGTTCGGACAGAAATCAAGAGACGAGAGAAGAGAGGAAGCAAAAAGGAAAACGAGAGGAAAAAGATAGAAGGAAAGAGGAGGGCTCGGGGCTATCGATTATCGATGACGTTTTAGAAACTTGGCCGGGATTAATTAGAGGCTGCGCGAAATTATTACCTGCAGCTGATTTTTTTCCCCCGTTCGCGTGGAAAAACCGTATCTTTTAACGCTCGTGGATAACGGACGAGTGATTCTTCGTCGATTATTGGCGTGAAGAGTTGGATGTCTGTTGAGAAATCATGCGGGGCGTTGTCAAACAATTTGAAGGAAAGAGAAACTCGCGTGAGAAACTATTACGACTATTTCTTTTTGGATAAATCGGCTGGTTTATTAAGACGAACGAGGTGAAGAAAGATAAATTGCATTGCAGGATAAATAAATAATATTTATATCGTATATAAATTATTTGACAAGCGTGGCTATAAATTTCCTCGGCGAAATGTAGCTTCTAGTTCTTGTCGGCCTGCCGACTAAAGTCCCCGGAGAGGGAACTGTGTATTTTATATTTTCGTCGTCTTCGCGGCGAATCATGTTTCCGGTCACGTAAAATCGGCCAGGGAGATACCATTAGGAGGAAGTCGCATGCAGAAAATGCGTCTAATGTCGATGAAGTCTGAAAATATCGCCGCGTTCCATTATATACATATATTTCGCATTGTCTTGTTATTTTTATCCATAAAATGCAATCTGATCTTTTGTGTGCAAAAAATGAACCACCTTTCGTCCAATATTTTCTTAATAATTTTCATTACTTAAAAAAAAAAAAAAAGTGTCAGTGATAAATCCTTCTACTGTAAAGAAGAAATCGATTCACCATTTGCGAGTAATGGTGTACATTTCAATTGAAATTAACAAAACCGCGAGACGCTCGAATCGAAAGAAGCGAAAATTTGTAACCTGTGTCGCTTAATTACGTTCATTTAGAGAATTCCGCCGGAATTTCCCCAGGAAAATTGTACAAATTTCTGTCTCCTCGCTGCCTAATTGATATTACGCGACGCACGTTGTATTTTAATTCCTCCAACAGTCGGAAAAATCTACGAGCCTCTACGTGCACTTTACAATGTGAAATTCCACGCAATTCAATTAATCCGTTTCGAATTAAACTCAGTTCTGTCTCGATGACAATTTTTGTTCCAAATATTTTTCAAACGCTTCCATTGAAATTGCGGTTTCATCAATGACAATCGTAAGGAATTAGTTCACCACTAATATATGTGGATGGTATATATCGATTGTTGGACAAAATCAATAACAATATACAAGATGACCTGCACACTTGAAATAATTTTTAAATTATACGTTCAAAGAAAAATTGTTTAGTAATGTGGCTTAATAGATTTTTTTACTTGGAATTTAACATTATTTCGACCTATGGCGAAAAAAATATAATATAATATAATTATATAGTATATATATATAATATATAATGAATTATAATATATATAACCTATAATATATAATAAATTTATTTATATATATAATATAAAATATAATCCAGTTAAAAAAGAAATAAAGATGACCTTGGGAATTTCGAAATCCATAAAAATTGACACGCCATATTTTGTCTCCCTTAAAACCACGCAACTTTTGTATTAAACAATTTTTCATTAGACGCACGATGTAAAAGTTACTTCAGGTGTGCAAGTTTCACGTGAATCACCCTGTAAATAATTGTAGAAATTAGCTTCTCTAATTCGTTCGTAGCTGGGAACATGCTCGACGGAGTACGGGAATTTGTAAATCTCCATAGTTTCGATCCTGTTCTCGGTTTCCCTCGTGTTTGATAAATAATTAACAAACTTTCTAACGGTCACAGCATAGAAAACATCGAACGTAACACTTTTGGCAATTTCTCGTTGATGAGAATAAATTAAATCGTGGCTGGTCGAGCAGAGCAGAAAGTGTCGGTTATTCGATAATTTGAGAACATCGTTTGAAATTCATCCTGTTCTATAATATAATTGTGATTAATACTACGTTAAATTCCCATGTTGAAGTCGCGTGTACCTAATTTCATATTGAATTCAAGTGGCTTAGAAAATTAAATAGCTTGACCAAGTTGAACGGGACGGAGCTTTATTGATGAGACCGTTAATGGATTCCCCGGGTGAAATGGAACCTCTCTCTACTTTCTTTCTCCTCTTCTCCCTCCTCCTCTGATATCGCAAGATCATAAGTCACTCAGAATTTGCACAATGATTTACCAATGGTACCGGTGAATCGACGAAATACTAGCCGATTATAGATGACATTTTTTAACAAATTTATAATACTAACATTCTAATGAAATACTATTAATTTTAATAGTTATTTGATAATATATTAATATTATTTAATTTTTAATTAAATTTAATATTTAATATATTAATATTATTAATATTTAATAGTCAATAATATATTAATATTATTAACATTGATAGTAAATAAAATTTAGTAATATTAGTAGATCATAGTATACAGTATATATATAGATAGTGTATAGTATAATATAATACATAATATATTATATTATAGTATAGTATACTATAATATATACTATACTATAATATAATATATATAATATATATTATAGTATAATATAGTATATTATATTATATTATAGTATAGTATAGTATACTATATTATATTATAGTATAGTATAGTATACTATATTATAGTATATAGTATATACTGTCTTATATATAGTATATACTGAATTTAGTAATGTAATAGTTTAATAGATCATGCACAATTACTGTGACATTCAATATACGAAACAAATTTTGCATCTGAATCGTATTTTTTTTTGTTTTTTAGTCATCCCACGTTCGTGAAAACACAAAATTCCGTAAACATCTAGTTGCAAACGGGGATCCGAAATCGCTGGAAGAAATACGAGAAATCGTTCGGCCACGCCGTTCAAATAGAAAATATGTTTTCGAGGCTGTCATGTTTATTTAATTCATTTCTGCGAGGGGGAAGAATTGCGGGTGAACGTTTGCGTTTCATCGTTTCGTTTCTCCGCTTTAATCGTCGTTTTCATTAATCAGCGCGGCCGTTTAAATCGCGCTGTCGCGGGACAAAACAATAATTCTCCGTTCCATTCTAAACGGTGTTATTCCCGCTAAACGGCCAGCCACGACTGCGATATTTTTTCGCCGGGATGTGCGGTCAGTGTATCGAAAGTGGCGCCAGATACAAATTGGCGTCTACGTTCGTTCGGGGCTGAATACGGAAAAAAAAAAGAAAAGAAAAACAGAATAAAGAGAAAGAGAAAGAGAGAAAGAAATAAAATCCCGCAGACTTTTTCGTATCGAATGCTCTTATTCGAAAAGTATTTGTTTACACGCGGCCGCAATATTTCTTCCCGAATAGGCGCCGCATCGATCGCTTTCTGTTCGAACTGGCCTGAAGGTGTGTGGCTTGGAAACTTTCGCGACTTGTTCCACTGAATGGAAATCTCCCTTTTTTCTCCCCTGCCTTGTGAAAACAGCGGGCAGAATTTTTTGCGGTGAACAAAAGGATATTTGAACTCAGCCTCACACGTAGATAATACTGAAATTAAATAGAAAGTTTCTGTCGTTCGAAAGACATTCGTTTGTCGTTTCAGCGTAATTTACTTATGATCAAGTTAACTGATTTCAGCGCAGTTTATATTTTTCGTTGCGAGTTTTACAGATCTCGTTGAGCGTTGAAAAGATTTGCTCAGAAAATTTTTAGACATCAGTAGTATTATCAACAGAAGGATGTTTCTAATGAAACGTAATCTCGAAGGCAAGATGAAATGTGTTTGAAAAGATATATAAAACAAATTCTAGACATTTTCCTACTATTGTTAATTAACCAAGATTGTTATTAGTGAATTCTATTCTCAACGAAGCTCGATGTCAGCGATGATTTTCCATCGATGTGGAAAAATCAAATATTCCATAGAAATTCAAAAATCATGCGGCAAATTCGACGAGAAACGCCGCGGAAAATCTGTGATGTTTTAATTATACGCGAGCAGCGCAAAGCAAGGCAAAGACAAATTGCTCGGGCTTCAAGCGGCTTCGTTTGCACTGCCGAAATTAAGCAATTATTATTCAAAATTCGGGCCGAAGCGAATTGCTAACGCGAAAGTATCAGCGACTTTCGTGACGCGAGTTTATGACGGGCATTGTAACAATATAGCTCGTGAAACGTACACTCGGCTGCAATTCCCATGATCCTGGTGCTGTTTTTTTTTTTTTTTTTTATCTCGTTCAGGCTCAAGATAGAGCACTGTCACGCTGTTTCAGCCGATGCTGCAAAAAGCAACGCTCAGCGAAACGTTGGTGGGACTCGTCGAGGACGATAATTAAACGCCGCCGGGTCAATCACAATATCGTTTTTTATTTTCCACGGTTCCCTCTAATGGCCCGGCCAATTTTTCATTACTTCTCGTTAAGCGCAACTGTCAATTCTTTTTTCTTTTTTTTTTTTCTTCTGTCCATCAACTTTTTCTTGTTTCCTCTTATTGGGAAGATATGAAGCGTCAATTGAGCACACAATGATTCGCGAAATGATTGGAGAAAAATATAAACGAAACGAACGATTATAAATACGCCTGGTTCGCTGATATTTTAAATTTCTCATTACATTGTAAATTTTTTTAAATACTTTGAATATCTTGAATTTCTCGTTATCCTAATATCTCGAAAGGTCTTAAATTTCATCATTTTTGTAAACCGATTACTCTCTTGCAATTCGCCACGACTTCCCTATCCAGTCGGTCCAAGCAAAGTAGATTGCGATTCTGCAATTTTCGAAAAGCAATTTCCTTGAAATTTTAGGGAAACGAATCGATAAACCCACGTTCAACGATACGAGACACGCCGTTGTCGTTCCTTTTATTGCAGAAATCGCCGGCAGCTTTTTTTTTCCCAATCTATTTTCGCACTCGTCTTCTCTCTTGACATTCTTCTTTTTTTTTTCGCAACACGTGCGGCTGTTATTAATAATTTGACATTTCGTTGAAATTGAATTTGCTAGATAGAATAGAATTTATTGCATCGAAAGTGTGTTTCACAATAAATTCTTTTTTAACAATTGAGATTATAGACTGTTGGGATTGCTTTTCCAGAGCAGAATATTTCTGAATTGTATTCTAAATATATTCGACAATCACAAGACGAATAATACACTATCTTCGTCGGCGAAATTTCCCCATTCAAGTCGCTCGAGGCAGGAAAAAGTTGAAGCTAAATACCCGATTGCGAGTTGGCAAGAGCGTCTGACTAAATACGTACTTATCTACTCGCGCCTGAACATTCAAGTTAACACGAACTCTCCACGGTCATTACACATTTTCCCCTCTTCCACCTGAATGCAAACCTTTACCCATTTCCAGATTGTCTTTTCCTGATAAATCTTGGCACGGTTACAGAACACGGTGCAAGTTTCATTTTTCCAGCGAGAGAGCCACGAAAATTTTCTTGGCAAATACAGCGACGTTTAATTCGAACAGCGAGACAAACTTGAGTCGAACTTTTAGAGAAATTTTAGACACGTGCTGTTCTTTGTAATTTGTTAAAAATCATGTATTTTTTTAAAACAATTTTCTGGTTTTACAGTAAAATTGTTAACGAGCATAGTTCGAATCAATTTTTAAAAATGCGTAACAATACGTGTCGTAATAATTACAAACAATTTAAGGTTAAATTTCCTTTGCAATTGTCTTAACTTTGTCTTCGAATTTTTATACTTCATATTTTGCATTCAGCTTTGCGAACAAGAAAGGTTTATGATGTTTAATAGGAAACTTTGTCGAAGAGTCACGCGCAAACTTGACACAAGTTTAAACTCGAGATATTTTTTAATTAAAAAAAAAAAAAAAAAAAAAGAAATACAAGTGCTTTCTCAGTCTACAAAGAGGGAAAGTTCTCAAGTGGTGGAAACGGTTGCAAGTCGCTGCGGAAATTTTTAACCTAGATAGAGCGAACTTCTTCACGGGCTCATCCGGCGTGCAAACACATTATTCAAAATAGAGTAACCATTATTCAAATTGTTTCGTGATTACATGCACTGCCGTAAAGGGAAGATCCACGGGAAATATGTTGTTCCATAATTCACGGGGCAGGGAATATTTACGTATTTTTCAAGTCGTTAGTATCGATCGGCGTGCCTCAAAGCTGACCCCAGTCAGGTTCCCGATACGTCTTCCTTAAAATATATAAACTCACCGACGAGTACATACTTTTTAAGATCCGGCTCTTCCCTATATTGATCATATCGTCGAACATTTATTGTCTCGAACGAATAATAATTTTTATATTATATTAATTAATTTATATATATATATATAAATAATAAATTTAAATAGCTTATAATAATAGAGTATAATATTGAAAATATTGATGAAATTACAAATTTTTAAATATAATTGATAAAAATTTTTTTATATTGAAAATATAATGTTTTAAATAAACTACATATTTAGAAATAAAGATATTTATATCTAATTATAAAGTTAGAAGCTTTAATTCTTTATTTCAATAAATTAGAATTTTATTCAATAATTTTATTAACAATAAAATGCCTCTCTTTAATGTAATACAAATATGAAGTAACAAAATACATTTAACTTCGACTTGAAATTTAATCATTATAATGATTCTCATTTAAATTAATTTAACATATTCAATAAAAAAATCCTACTATTCATTCTGTAATTAATGTAAATAATATTATAAATATAAATAATGAAATTACATTAATTACACAATAAAAATTTAAATATTTTAAATAAAAAATTATTGGGAGAAAATTACTCCGTAGCATTGTTTCGCCGTTTCAGATTCACTTTCACAGAAACGGCGACGTAATAAACGATTTGAAGTTAAATTTTCACAAACCTTTCAATCTACTCGATCTTTCGATGATTCTTTCGTCTGAAAACACTATTCAGACTATATATCGTTTGTTACGCTGGTCGAGAGTTGTTCGAAGGATGCGGCGGAGGCTGTAAAACACGGATTCAGAATACCGGGAATCGACAGGACATCCATAAAATATCATTAACCAGCACTTGGTTATTGGAAGCGTGAACGCAGCAGTAATTATCACTGGGAATCACGGGAACGTAATGGGGAACGGATAATAACCGTGAGAGGCTATTAATGCGTTCTACTTAACAAAGTCTGAATTGGAATCCCGCTAAACGTATCTTGTCACAAACTTAAGCGTTATTGCGAACTCGTGTAATGGAAACCAAATTTTGACACGCTGGTCGCAACGCTGCTGAAACGCTCGGATAATTTGCCTAGTATTTACGATCTTCTCTCCACAGAGTGAGCATGCTCCGCGTACTCGTCTCTTTGTTAAATTCTTTCCGCCGAATCAAATTTCATTCGCATTGTTTCAATAGTCTCCGATGATGTGTGACACTTGTCCATCGCAACAAATTGGAGTGTAAGGAAGAATAATTCAAGAAATACCAGAGAGATTCAAAGAAGCAGCAAGAAGTTAAAATAAAAGCGATCAGAATGCTACTGTTAATTAACCGTTTGACGTCGAGCGAGGCTCGTAATTTACAATTCAGATTCATCATTGCGTTAATCTTGGCCACACACGGACGTGCAAATGTATCGTCTGAAGGTGTTAACTTTCTGCCGGCTTTTCAAAAACAAGCGTTTATTTACAAATTGAGATAAAACATTACTGACACATTATTCACCTTCAGATCAGTTTTCTTCACCGATGGATCTATTTTATTTTGACATGTTTATATTTAATTTGAAACACTGACAACCTTGCGTAGTTGTTTTTAACATTTGTATACAGATAGGGCATATATTTATCTGACTTTTTTTTTCATTATTTTTAGGCGTACAATCAGCTCCCACAAGTTACGAAAGACACCCTGTATATGTCATAAGGCATGTACGATTGAACGGATTCAAATTCGTTTTGTCGAAGAGCTACATGAGACAATCGTAGGGTTGTTTCCTTTTGTCATCGTATTTGGAACAAGCGATCAATACATGCTCAATGGAATTAGGTAGATGGCACGTGTCACAGATATTTGGTTCTGTGTTTGTGATTTGGTAAAGGTAAAAATGTGTTTGTTTGGCCTGTTCTTATTCTTGTTGGCGATAGTTGCTCTTTTCTGTTCAATCGTTGAGCTAGGCTGGACGTCACGTACACTTTTACGAATTTTGCGTAG